GAAGTCAGGGATTGTGATGCCTCCTGCTTTGTTCTTTTTCTTTAGGATTTCTTTAGCTATTCGGGGTCTTTTGTTGCCCCATATAAATTTTAGTATTCTTTTTTCTATTTCTGTGAAGAATGTCATTGGGATTCTGATTGGGATTGCATTGAATCTGTAGATTGCTTTAGGTAATAGACATTTTAACTATGTTTATTCTTCCAATCCACGTGCATGGGTCTATGTCTTTTGATGGGAGAATTTAGTCCATTTACATTTAAATTGTTGATAGATATGTACTTATTGCCATTTTAGTAACTGTTTTCTGGCTGTTTTGTAGCTCCTCTGTTCCTTTCTTCTCTTGCTCTCCCTTTGAGGTTTGATGACTTTTAGCATTATGCTTAGATTCTTTTCTCTTTTTGTGTACCTACTACAGGTTTTTGCTTTGTGGTTACCATGAGGCTTACATGTAACAACTTGTATTTATAACAGTCTATTTAAGTTGATAACTTAAATTTGAATGCATTCTAAAACTCTACATTTTTATCTTCTCCCCACTTTTTGTTTTTTTTTTTTTTGCTGAGGAAGATTTGCCAACCTAACCTCCTGGCCAGTCTTTCTCTATTTTGTACATGGGTCACCGCCACAGCATGGTCGCCAATGAGTGGTGTAGATCCACGCCCAGGAACAGAACCCAGGCCGTCAAAGCAGAGCACACCGAACTGAACCACTATGCCATTGGGATGGCCCCACCTTTTTGTTTTTGATGTCACATTTTACATCTTTTACCTGTGTATCCCCTAATTATTGTAGTTAGTTATGTTTACTACTTTTGTCTTTTAACCTTCATACTAGCTTTATGATTAATCCTCTACCTTTACTAAATATTTACCTTTACCAGTGAGATTTATGCTTTCATACATCTTGTTACTAATTAGCACCTTTTCTTTACAGCTTAAGTGAGTCCCTTTAACATGTCCCATAAGGCTGGTTTAGTGGCGATGAACTCCTTTAGCTTTTGCTTGTCTGGAAAATTCCTTCTCCTTTAATTCTGAATGATAACCTTGCTTGGTCGAGTGTTCTTGGTTGGAAGTTTTTTTCTTACGTTCTCTGTTCAATCTATATAATGTCCTGGAGATCAGGAGTAGAATAATTCCCTTTCATAACCAAGCTCACTGTCAGGCAGAGTAGGCACTCAGACACAAGATGAGGGAGGGAAAAATCCTTCTTAGATCACAGAGATAGCTGAGTTTAACAGAAAGAAGGCTTTGAAGCCACATCTTTGGAATCCCGGCTCTTTGACTAGTTAGCTTTATGAGCTTTGGTAAATTAAACTGAGGACAAGACCTAGCTGCAGAGCTGTTTTTATCACAATACTAGTTACAGGCATCCTTTGTATCTCTCTACCCTTTGAGGGCCCATCAGCATCAGTCAGAGCTGCAGACAGGAGGATACATATGGACCTCAGGTCTCACGGGCAGAAGGTGGTCATGAAAGCTTCCTCTCAGACTAAGATTTAGAACTGTTAATCCACTCTACGGTACTCGAGGAGCTAGCTCCCACGTCCCACGTCTAAATCTCTTCTTACTGTATAGTAATTCCTAGGCCATCAGTAGAGGTGCTTTCAGTTTGTGGCCTTTGGCTTCTCTAGTTGTCTGCTCTTGGCTCAGCAGACTTCAAGGTGCGTATATGTCCAGCCCTTTCAACCCACTGTTGGTAGAGAAAGAAGAAACAAAGAGTAATTCCATAAGGAATTTGGTTCTACAGGGCAGGGTATAGTCTCAGTGGGAATAGGCAGGATAAGTTAGAAAAACGGATCTGGTCGAGTCTGTAGTTAACCTCACTTTGAGAATCTATGCAAATAAACGTTCTCCTCTTTCTTGTCGATGGCTTGACATTGTGATATACCCCAAATACCTGTTTTTTCTGATAGTAATCTGACAACTTTATGGGTGTCCTCTAATATCTGGTTTTGCTACTTGGTCTTGATAATTTACAAGCTATGAGGCAACCTACTAGGTCTAGGTCTGGGGTTGGCAAACCATGGCCTGCCTGTTTTTGTAAATAGTTTTGTCGGAACACAGCCACTCATATTCATGTAAGTATCGGCTAGGGCTACTTTTGTGCTGCTACAACAGCAGAGTTAAGTGGTTGCAACAGAGACCACAGGGCCTACAAGCCTAAAATATTATCTATTCCTTTAGGAAAAAGTCTGTCAACCCCATATGGAATCGTTCCTCATTAGGGTAATGGAGGATCACCCGACTGGACATCAAGGCAAAGCATTTTCAAAGGTGAGCTTAGTTTATCTCATGTAAAGCTGGCCAAGGTAAGATGTTTTTTCTCCAAAGCTGTAAATGCATAAAGATTTATTGGGAATGATTTTCTACATGGTGCTCCTTCATGGCTACCAGTCAGCAGGGCCCACGTGTAGAAGAGGTGGGTGCACTCAACAAGGAAACGGCCCATCTCCAATACTAGTGAGTGATTAAAACATGAAACAGCATCAAGAAAAAAAAGCATCCTGTCAAAATTACAACTTGTGGACTAAAACAAAGGACACATTCCCACTAGAACAGAAATAAATTTTAATTCGTTGAAAAGTGCAGCAGTGAACAGGGTCCTTTGAAGGGCACTTTCTAAGTCAAATGACAGAGATGACACACAGCCAGGGCAGAACAACTTCTAGGAACAGATGATGCAAATACAGGAATTCACAAAGTTCAGTGGGACCTAAGTGGTGGTGAAACCCAAGAGCCCAAACCTTGCCATCTAATTCCATTGGTGAAGCGACTGAAATACCTTTTGCTTTCTCTTAATAAGGATCCTGGAACAATTCATCTTTCTTTATTAAAAAAGCACTAATTCTTAATTTAGACACTTAAAAATAAATTTAAGAACATTTCTCACAGATTAAGGTATAACTTCCATGGCTATCATTACTATTTTGTACAAAAACCCTAGTGTTGTCAATTAAAATGTATTTTGCACAGCACCATTGGTCAAATTCAAAGATGCTTAACAGGTGTTCCCTGCTTTGTCACTGTATTTGAGGAAGAGCTTTGTAATAGGAAATCTTGTAAGGCAAAAATCTCTATTCATTCCTATAGCCTATGTTCATTCGTAATGGTTATCTAGTTTTGTACTCTGAAGGGCACCAACAGATACGGACCTGACCTCCTTAGAAGGGAAAATAATCAAAATTCAGATCAGTACAGTTAGAGAGAAACAAGGCAAGCATCTTGCAGTGGATCCTTTGTACATTCTGAAAAGTTCAGTGCGTTCTATAGTCTGCTAGGCTGTAAACTGAGGCCTCTTTATGAAAGATGATTTTATTAGCACAGATCCAGAACGAAGCTAGTCCAAGAGAAAAAGTGAAATTTTTAGAGGCCATTTAAACGTTTGGTAGGAAATGTACCAAGAGTAGAGGACACCGAGAGGCCACATGGCACCCCCCCACCCAAACAAGTCTGCCGACTGTAAGAGTGTGGCAGGGACACTATCGGTAGCTCATGTGTCAGTCTCATGACTTCACCTGCTTTCAGGAACCGGCATCATAAAACTGAATAATATGACATCACAGTACAAGACCTGGTAACAGTAGGTTTCTTTTTATTCCGGAATAACTGTGGTCAACTTTCATTAATGTGGAAGTTGACTGATTAATGTTAAGAATCAAAGTGTAGAATAAAGCTGTAACCTATACTCAACATTGTAGTTTGAAATTTTTAGCATTTCTTTCCCTAAAACGTTCATAGCAGAGGTGTTCATCTCACTTGCCTGTTTCACCTCTAAATACCACCACAGTTACTGGGGTTGTGTGAGGTAAAGGAATAAACCCAATGGCTATTAACCTGTCACGGCTCTCTGGAATTCTGATGGAAAAGGTGCTCTGGCCACATCCTACAAAGTGCTTAGAGCTCAACCTAAGACCTTAAATAGAGCTACCATCACTCCTGCCTGAGCCGAACAGGTTCCCAACCACAGCAGCTCCTCCTCCTCTGCCGTCCCACCACTGATTAGCTTCCTGTGAAGGAAACAATGGAAACGGGATTGGTTTTTGAGCCAAACACCATAAAAATGTCGGTGTTCTAAACAGTGAGGAAACCTCAACAAGATCTGGTTTTGGCAGGGGAATAGCGAATGGGGCCCAAATTATACAAGACTCCAAAAACTCAGGAAGACCCTATCCAGGAGGGAAGAAGGTAGGGTAAAGGAGTTGGTACTTTGCATCAACTGTAAGAAATTTTTACCTCTTGTAACAAATGAACAGAATGTCAGTAAAATGCAGAGACAGTCAAACAACTTCCCACTCTGAAACCCAGGCTCCCTGCTGGACAGGCACTTACCACATCCCAACCACAGCCCTTCAATCTGCCAACCCGAGAGCCCCATCTACGGGAGGCCCTCGGGAAATGCAGCCTTCACCCACCCCGGGAAGTTCCTGTTCTCTGCAGAGATATCTAAGCCGCTTTACTGTTCAGATCTCTGAGGGGAAAGTACAGAGAGACAGTCCCTCGATCCCCCTAGTGGTAACTGGCACTCCATGCGGTTAGCAGCCACCGGCAAGTAGGTGGCTGTCACCATTAACTAATTCAGTGTCACCTGGAATTAGCCTTTCCCAAAAGCCTACTGTTCTATTTCAGTGCAGCACCAGCCCAGAATTCCAAAAAACTAACAGAGCTTGGTTGACATGTTTTGAATCTGTGACCTTATCACATTGTGATGGATATTATAAACAATATATTTCTACCAATCTAAAAACAATGGTACTTGTTCTTAATCAGATGATTCAGCTCTGATGGTCATTCTTCTAGCCATGTGATGTCAGTATTTTTGACAGTGAGGTGCTCAATCTGAAATGCTACGCAGGTCCTTTGATTTTAGGTCAAGCTATATATATCAAAAACATTTTTCCCCCTGAAGTATTGCCATTTATCTGAATGGATTTACAAATTCAGACTTTGACCACATGGGGAATAATCAAGAAGTGTAGCCCCAGGACAGAAAGTGTATGGCGAGAACAAAGACCTCAGGAGCATTCCTTATCAGTGGAGTGAAGGGACCAGGGACAGCCACTCCCGACATGGGCAGAGTTCACAGTTTAACACTTTGCACAAGGAAGTCAGCTGGTTGGGTTGCTTTTTCAAACACGACTTAAAACAAAGCCAGTCCAGAAACTCCTCCAGGCGTGGTCTTGAAGACTAGCTACAGACATCTACTACAATCACTTCATCAGAAAGAGGCGTGCAGGGGTCCACTGCCGAGGTCGCTACAGAGGACGTTTTGAAAACCTTCGAGTCCTGACACTGCCGTGATTGTTGAACATGAGACGAGGGTCAAACCTATATCTGGGGAGGAAAACAAGGATGCCACATTCATTCCAGTTGGCCATTGAGTACTTTGTGCAGAAGAGTAAGTGGACTTAAGGATATCAGGAAGGGATATAAAAGGAATAATTAAATCATCAGAAGGGAGCTGCTGTTTATAGTAACGAAACAGTACTTAATTAAGAGCATTTCCATGACAAGTCAGCAAGCACAAAACAATGTAGTAAAAGTGGAGAGGAGAGAAAAAACAGCAGTAAGGTTAGTCTTGAAAGGCATTTGGAGGCAAGATTTGAGCTGTTTTGTTTTTTGGGGGGAAGGGGCGACCCCTAAGATATTAACAGCCTGATGGAAGAGTCTACAGCCCTTGCTGTGAAAGCCCTACCAGCAGTTTCAAAGCCTTTTCTTCTTCTGCAGTTAAGACACACAGGCTGTGGTGGGTAAGAGCGGAGGTGTGCACCTGAGACAGGAGTTTGAACCAGGCTCATTATGAACTGAGGGCAGTCACTAACTTCTCTGGCCACCAATCAAATAGTAAGGCAATCCAGGTAAAATGTCTGGCACATAAAATAACTTACCACCCAAGGGAAAGTTAGAGCGAATGCTGAACGGTAACCTGAGTTGAGACTTGGCAGAGGCAAAGCATATAGGTTGTCTGGAGAGAAACTTTACATGTGCAGGCTAGAAATAACATTGTATTTACTTTTATCTGCTATCGTTTGGACAAACTAACTCTTATTATTTTAGAGCAGGGACTGGCCAACTTTTTTTGTAAAGGGCCAGATAATAAATATTTTAGGGGCCATGCAGTCTCTGTCCCAACCATTGAGCTTTGTTGCTGAAGTGCAAAAGCAGCCACGGACACTATGTACGTGAATGTGTGTGCTGTGTTCCCACAGGGGGAGGCTGGATTGGGCCTGCGGGATCTAGTCTGCTGACCCCCATTTCAGAGGGTTCTACAGACCTAAATGTTTGGGAGGAAAGAAAAAGCTAGGGCTAAGGAATTTAAAAGAAAATCAGGTAGAGTTTAAGTAGCTCAGGCTAACATCAGCAAAGCCAGCATCTAGAATCTTAGTTATAAGCTTCTAGAATGTGAGCAAGACAGTTAAACAAACAAACGCAGCTTGCCTGGAAGTCAGGAGATCTTGCTGTAGCAGTTCCTAAGAGGGTGACCCTGGGGCAAACCACTACTCCAAGCTCTAGCTCCTCATCTGAAATGTACCTGTTGGGGCTCTGAGGGCTGCAAGGAAATTCTACAGTTGAATCTAACACTTAAGGCGAGGTGCCCAGAAGAAACAAGGGGGCTGCTGCGTGCGCCCCACACTGGCCACTTGGATGCTGGCACGGCAGGCCTGTGCTCTCGCTGTAGCGTGCTCAGGGACGTCATGGTCAGAGAAGTCCACGTCCCTGGACCCTCCGTTCAAGACTTAATTAGATGTTGGCTTTAAGTTCCAAGAGTCAGCCAGAGACTGCTATGTACATCTAACTTTATTTGGTTTGATAAAACATTCTGAGCAAAGTAGTTGCTGGAAACTGCAAAATCAGCATGTGTCAACTAGAATTCTTGTGCTTTTATCTCAGAGACTGACCTTCCTACTTCAAGGAACTAGTACCAAACAAAGATCCATTTCATTAACTTGGAGGAAAGACCAAAGCTGGTCGGTCGGTCAGAACGCTTGACCAATTATTGCATTAACAGGATTTCTGTGGTTGAGTTGATTCCGACTCCTAGCACCCCTGTGCACAGCAGAGTGGAGCCCTGCTTGGTCTTTTCGCGCCATCTTCTCACCTCCCGGCGCTCTATCAGACGATGCTCCCTGCTATTCACAAGGTTTTCATGGCCACTTTTTTTGCAAGTGAGTGGCCAGGTCCTTCTTCCTAGTCTGTCTTGTCTGGAAGCTCTGCTGAAACCTGTGCCCCCCATGCGTGACCCTGCTGGGATTTAAAATACCAGTGGCATAGCTTTCAGCATCCCAGCAACACAGCTGCCAAAGTATGACACCCGATAGACGGGTGGTGTGGTTTTCTGAGCAAGACACGAACCTGGGCTGTGGTGGTGAGAACTGCAGATCTTAACCACTAGACCACCAGGGCTGGCTATTAACAGGATTATCCATATAAAAAAAGCTACTTTGCTTAACTGATATAAAATTATGATAAATACTGTGTTTTTATATTGTTACCTAGTTTTAGTCTGCTGGCATCCATGTCTCTTTGGCTCTATATACACTATTTACATTTCTTTAATAAATAGTCTATAATCCAGTTTCTCTGTCTTTACTTACATTCCCCTCTAATTTGGACTGAAGATATCATTTCACATGAAGATGGCTAAATAAGTTATTATTTTCCATCAGCTTAGGACATCACTCTCCCCTCTCTCCTACAGAGAATAAGACCTGAAACAATCCTTTCCCGGTGAAAGTTTGATTTTTAATTTCATAATCTTCAAGCAAAAATGACAGGCTTCTTGCCATCGGCAGCTCCAGTGCCTGGTGTGCTGAGCCCCAGCATCCCTGGTGCAAAGTGACTGATGAAGAGGAACGGGAGTGGGAGGAGGGAGCCGACTCAGGAGGCCATCATTAACGTCTTTCCTCCCTTCATGTCCTGCAGTGGGCTTGTATGTTTCAACAGCTGAGAGTGTCTACCTTCTATTTCATTGCGTGTTTAATACATTAAATTGACTGGCAAGCACTCCCGTTTCTATAACTAGGGTTTCTGAGAAATGAACACATGTGCTCTGGGAAGCGCTAGGGACTGGGTACCACTTGGTCGGTGACTTTAAAGAAGTCCCAGGTGTCCCCAGTGCAACCGAATGGTACAGTGAGGAGAATCAGAGCCAGGAAGAGGAGGCCGCGGGGGTGGGGAATAGGCCATGCCTCCAGCCAAAGCACTGACTGGCCACGGAGAGCCAAGCTTCCAACTGCTCTTTCCCATACCCCAGGCTGGGGCACTGAGACAGCGCTCCCACTCTGGAGCAGAGGGCGGGGAACACAGCTTGGCTCACAGCAGAAGGGTCCATCAGGCTCCCTCTGCCTTCAAGAACACATGGCTTCTGGTGACAACTTAGCCCAGCACTGAAGAAAAGCGGAACTTACCCGGGGTCAAACACCCCTGGAGTGCGACAGGTCGGCCCAGAACAGGACTGTAACATCATCAGCCGATAGTTCATCTTTCCTAAAAGGTCTGGGTCTATGCTTTTCACGATGTTGGTGATTTGGTCTGGGTCTGCAGTCAGGTTATAGACCTCTACAAACACCTACAGGAAGTGGCAAGATGGACGAGAGAAAAGAGCAAGGGTTAAGCTGAGGAGATGCTCCTCGCATGCATTCTCTCAAATGGGAGGGGAGGAGATGGACAAGACCCAGGCCCAGGAGAAGATCATCTGGTCTGGAGGTCCCCAGAGAGCCCAAGGGTGTACACGAGACAGCGGAGCATCTGTTCGGGGGGTTCAACTGCTTCGGGTCCGAGGCCCACATGCTGGGAAGGGGCCTCCAGTGCAGCCGGTGCTTCAGGCAGAGTCAGGAGGGGGCGGGCGGTGGCGGGGAGCTTACCACCTTCTGTAATTAGGCAGAGAACAGAAGGCAGGAGCCTCAAATGGCAAGGTCTCAGAAACTGGATTTAGTGATCAAGTTACTGAGTGCGAGTAGACATTCGAAGGTTTGTTTTTGCCCTAGAATTGTGAAGACTCAAATGAGAACAGATGTGACAGTACTCTAACCCGGGTTACACGAATGTTAAGTTTTCCATTCTAAAAGCAGTTTGGGATGTGTAACACCAAGTGGGGAAGGATACAGTACTGTTATTTCTAACATCAGACGTGTGTAATATCACCATTTTCCACCCAATCTGAAGTTTGTTCTCCAAACTGGAGTTAAGTGATAGGCTAGGAAGGTGGTAGGTAAATTTTGCCTACAATGGCTTCAAGTAACTGCCCTCAGACTGTCACCTGTAAGCAGTTATCAAACGGATGAACATTACAGGGGAGGGGAACAGGAACGGAGTTTGAGGGAAGCTCTCTTGCCTGTTGTCCAAAGTGCCCACGAGCAACCGGTGAATGGTGGGCACATCAATTTCTGAGAAACACGATGAGTGTCGGCATCACATGGCAAGATGTGGGCTGCCAGATGGGGCAGGGGAGCGCACACTGATGAACAGGTATGACACCACAAGGACTGGAGTCCATGTGGTCCTTCCAATAATCCACACTGATCCGAGTTGGCTAAAAGCCACCTTCTTCCAGGGATGGCGCTCCTGGGCCTGCCTTTGACCCCACTGCTAAACCCATCTGAGCAGCACTGGGCTCTGCCGTGGTGAGGACAGAAGTTTCTGAACAAGGTGGCTGCAGTAAGCTTTCTAGGAAATGCCTCAACTCCTTTCACCTCCACAGAAGCTGAGGTGTCTCACCCTCACCCCAAACTACGAGGGAGCAAAGAGACCAGGCGTGCAGCCTTTCAAAAACGTGAAGTGTGCATTTAAAGTGTATGTTTGGGAGGTGGTGGGAGTGGAGAGAACCCCATCCAGGAAGGTCGCAGGTAGGGACGGGAAGCACGGCCTTGTGGAATTCTGTTTTCTTAACTGAAGAAAACCTAAGTGGAAGTACAGATAAGAAACACGTCTTCCCTAGGGAGCATCCTTGGAACTGCTCTTCTGCCACCAAGTCCAGCTAACAAAGCGCTGGCGATGGACATGGGTGGGGATGCAGAGGCCCTCTTACCTCCTGGTCATCAAACTCGCAATACTGTAAATTCCACAGTGCCGCCATGGTCCTCACACAGGCATAGGTGTTGTTGTAAGCATCTTCACACACACAGTCTGGGAAACATTGCTGAGGGGATATTTAAAGAGTTAAAGGAAGACAGTTTTTCTATAGTAACAAATATTACTGGCTTACAGGGGCAACCTAGTTGGCTCGAGCTGGATATACAACTGGACAGAAATCAGGAAACCTTCCACAGAGAAGCAAATCAAAATAGACGTGGGGCTTTGCTCCTTCCTGACAGCTAACTTGATCAAGGAACACGGGTGGTGGCTGTTCCATCTACAGACTGCTGCCATCCCTGCCTGCTGATCTCCTGACAAGAACTGGCTGCAGTGAGCACCTGTAAAACGTATGGGTTGGTGAGGAGAAGAATTGATACTCAATGAGTCACTTCTAAGGTGTATTCGGAACTGTCATCCCAAAGGGCTAGAGAAAAAGGCTAAAATGAGCTTTGTGGAATCATGTGTAGGTAACTCATTTATAAGTGTGTTTTTTTTTTGTCTGTTTGTTTTGCTGGGAAAGAGTTGCCCTTAGCTAACATCTGTTGCCAATCTTCCTTTTTTTCCCCCTCCCCCACAGCCCCAGTACACAGTTGTATATTCTAGTTGTAGGTCCTTCTAGTTCTTCTATGTGAGCCGCCACCACAGCACGACTACTGACAGACGAGTGATGTGGTTCCACGCCCGGGAACCGAACCGGGGTCGCCGAAACAGAGCACGTTGAACTTTAACCTCTACGCCATCAGGGCTGGCTGATTTGAGTGGTCTTATGATTTTAACTTCTTTCTTCATGTCTTCTATACCAACTTCCAGTTGGTTCTTTACTATATCCTAACACTTTGGTATTGGAGGGTCAACTCCAAATGGAAGCCTATTTCCCATTCTCCAAAGAGAGGCCAGGGTGGCTGTTACCATCCCCACAACCAGCCTGACTGCCACCCGTGCGAGACACTTGTGACGGCATGGTAACGGGTGGAACCCCATCTCTCTATGGGATGCCACTGATAACATCCCTAATAAAAAATAGTGCCGCTATGAGGAAGGGTGGGAAAACAGGAAGGGGTACTGATCTGGCAAGAACGTGGGCAGAGGTGTGCACCTGTTACACAGACGGGAAGAATTCGAAGTGCACAGTCTGACGACAGGTTGGCAGCGTCACCTTCCAGATTACTGAAGTTTCCTTAGTCCATCTACTAATCTCCCACAGTCAAGTGACAAAGGAGTAGGACTCAGACGAAGGGTTTCAATACTTGATACACTAAACCAGTGCCTGCTGTGCTGTCCATGAGGAAGCTGTCTAAGCCGACTCAAGATATTACTCACAGAGACTCCAGGACTCAGGGAAGGACACGTGGGGTCAGTGACGTTACGGCCTTCTCCTTGATATTCCACCAGAACATCTGATCGCCAAGTCAGATTACTGGCACCTTTCTAGAAAGAAGAGCAGAAGTGGTTGCTGTGTGGCCTACAGACTGTGGTAAGATTCACAGAGTTATTTGTTCTAGTGCTAAGGGGGAGCTGGGAGTCAACTGGACTCTGCATTCAGTAACTAAAGGGAGTGGCCACGACTGATGCAGATGAAGGCTACCGAGTGTCACGTTTGGGATTTGTGGAGCCCTTACAAGTGACGGTCACATTTGATAGTTACTCCCCAAGACGACTTCAGGAAAGCGGGTCAGGACTGGAAACCGACCAAGCAGCTAAGCAAGACTCAAAGTCACAGGGCCAAGTCCAGACTAGAATACACAACACTGTCTACAACGTGTATCAAAGAACTGTTGTAAGTTCACACTCACAAATTTATAGCCTAATACATACAAGGACAAGAATTAAACAAACATCAACTTAGGCTAGTGTGCTAAGGACTGCAATAGGTTCAAAGTACTTCTTGATGGTCAGGCTGAAGACATCATAATGTACGAGCTCATTTCATCTCCGACGCACATCAGTGGAGTGCAAGGCAAGCAGCAGCAGCACTTGAATCAGGAAAGTGTGAGACAGGCACACGAATGGAGAAAGGAAGAAGGCTCGAGGAGTGAGAGGAAGTTCTGCATCAGGAGAACCACATGAACAGGGGATGGAAGTAGAACCTGGAAGTATGGTTTCCTGAAATCCAGCTCAGACAAGGAAGCAGCGCCATGTAGAGTCGAGAGGCAGGCTGGTAACCGCACAGGAAAAGGCCGACAGCAGGCTGCCCATTAGTTCTATAAAGAATGGCAGGTGACAGACAGGAAGCAACGGGAGGTTTCTGAGCAGGGAAGTAACACAATCAAGGTTGTGCTTTAGAAAAGGCACCCAGTAGCAGAATCTAGAAATGGAGTGGAGATGTGGAGACCCAGAGACCACGTTAGAAGGCACTCTTGAAATGGTCTCTAGGCTTACTACTCAGTCTGGTTTGCGGGCTATCAGCCACACTTGGGAGCTGGTGAGAAATGCACAATCTCAGGCCCTCCTCAAGCCTTAATGAGCTAGAGTCTGCATTTTAATAAGATCCTCTGGTGAGTCAGGAAATGCACAGTAAAATTTGAGAAGCATTGCTCTAAAACAGTGGTTCTCCAAGTGTGCCCCACTACCAGAAGCATTAGCATCACCTGGGAACTTGTTACAAATACAAATTCTTAATTCCCTGTGCGGGTGGGGAGCATTCTGTGTTTTAACCAGCCCCACAGGCATTTCTGAGGAATGCTAGTTTGAGAACCACTGCTCTAAGGACTTCAGTGGACCCACTTAACTGGACCACGGTGGGGAAGGGGCGACAGCCTGTGCAAGGCCTTGGAATACCACAGCTGCCTGGCAAGGGCGAGTCAGAGACAGGAACGTATTTCCTAACTCCCTGTTCTATGATGAAACCTAAACAATCCCGTGCCGATCAAGGTCTCAGAAACCGCAAGTAACAGGAGACTTCAGAAGCTGCCAGCTCCTCTGTAAGCACCCACCCTGGGCCATGGAAGCTGGGAGTCAGGGGAAGAACTTACCTGTCAGACCTGAGTGTCAGAGCATGCAGAGGAGAAAATGGTGCCTGAAAAGTCTAGGTCAGTGGTCTCAAACTTGGCTGCATATTAAAATCACGAGGGCAGCTTTAAAACTCCCAAGGGCCAGGTTATGCCCCTGTCAACTCATCAGAACCTGGGCTAGGACCCAGGCATTAGTATTTCAGTTTCCCGGCTATACTAATGTGCAGGCAAGTGTGAGACTAACAGTCTGGAGGGTCGTTAAACTTTTCCTGTCAAAGCCCAGACAGTAGATATTTAGGGTCTGCGGTGATACAGTCTCTGTTGCAACTACTCAATTCTGCTGTTGTAGCAGGAAAGTGGGCCCAGACAATATCTGTATAGATGAGCATGGCTGTGTTCTGATATAACTTTATTTACAGAAACCAGGGGTGGGCTAGATTGGCCCCAGGGGTTTGCATCCCCTGGTCTATGGCAGCACTGTCCAGCAGGAATGTTCTCTATCTGACCTGTTCAATACAGTGGCTTCTGAGCACTGGATATGTGGCTAGTGCCACTGAGGAAGTGAATTTTTCATTTTATTCTAGTTAATTTAAATAGCCATGCGTGGGCAGAGCTAGAGGTGTAACAGCAACAAACTGCTCTGCAGCCCTAATATACCAGTAGTTTCACTGGAATAACCTCCAGAACACGTAAAAGAGCCGAGTCCTAAATGGCACTTGCAGAATTGTGCAGAGAAACTAATTATACCCAGCAGAGTGATTTTACCCTCACAGTGAAGTTTTCTAATTAGAAATAAGGTACACAGTATAAGACTTGTATAGAGAAAGTTAAAAGACATAAGTTTCCCTCTAACTGATCTATAAATTCAGTGCAATTCCAACCAAAAGCCCAACATGATTTTTCAGGTAACTGAAAAGCTGTTTTGAAAGTCTATATGGAAGAGAGGTGGCTAGGATCCCCACAGGAACAATGAGAGGTGTGTCCATACAAAGACTTAATTATACAGCTTTATGACAAGACAAAATGATGCTGGTACAGGGATAGCCAGATCTGTGGAACAGAAAAGACAACTGAGTATTCATAGAGAAACAAGTTAAACTGGATCCCTGACTCATACCATACAAGAAATTCAATTCTAGATCCACCAATGGCTTGAATGTAAGAGGCAGAACTACAAAACTTTTATAAGAAAATCTAGGAAAACTATTTTCTGATCTCAAGGTTCAGAAGCATTTTTATAAACAAGACACAAACAACACTAACCATAAAGAGATGATTTATATGTTCGACTTCTGTGTTCTCATATCTTAACGCAGGGAAAAGACACGTCATGGGGACGATATGATGGGCAAAAAGATGCATTTCATACGGGAAGAAACACAAAAGGCATAAATGAACACTGATTCACTGATCAAAAACCCAATTGAAAAATGGGCAAAGGATCTGAATAGACATTTCTCCAAAGATGATACACAAATGTCCAATAAACACACAACAAGACGTTCAACATCATTAGTCATTAGGGAACCGCAAATCAAAACCACAATGAGATACCACTGCATGCCCACTACGATATAATAAAAAGACAAAACAGCAAGTGTTGGCGAGGATGTGGAGGAATTGGAACACTTGTTCACTGCTGGTGGGAATGCATAAAATGGTGCAGGTGCTTTGGTAAATAGTCTGGCAGTTCCTTCAAAGGTTAAACCTAGAGTCACCACATGACCCAGCAATTCTACTTCCAGGTTTATACCCAAGAGAACTGAAAACATTTGTCCACACAAAAACTTGTAACAAATGTTCATAGCAGCATTATTCATAATAGCCAAAAAGGGGAAACAACCCAAATGTCTATCAGCTGATGAATGGATAAATTAATGTGACATCTCCATATAATGGAATATTATTCAGCAATAAAAAGGAATAAAGTACTGATACATGTTACAACATGGATGACCCTTGAAAACATCATGCTCAGTGAAAGAAGCCAGTCACAGAGGCCACATATTGTCTGATTTTATTTATACAAAATGTCCACAACAGACAAATCTATAGAGACAGAGAGTAGATTAGTGCTTGCCTGGTGTTGGGAGAGGGAGCAATGAGGGAGAGATGCTAATGTACTGGGGGTTTCTTTTCGGGGTTATGAAAATGTTCTAAAATTACATTATGGTGATTGCACAACTCTGTGAATACACTAAAAACTACTGAGTTGTAAACTTTAAATTAGTGAATTGCATGGTAAGCAGATTAAGCTGTTGAAAAATAATTCATCTCATTAACAAAGAAATGCACAGTAGGACCCAATATAATTTGTCTTTTTCGCCCACTAGATTGGCAAAAATTAAGTTGTCTGATAGTTTCATACAGAGCAAAGGGAATTCTCATCCCCTGCTGGTGGGATGTAAACTGATGACCATTCTGTAAAATAACTTGGTAACATCTGTAGAAATGAACACGTGCAGTTCCTGTAACCTTGGTACATACACACATGTTCACTGGGAGACAAGCCTGTTCCTAAAACAAAACCAGAGCAACACAAATGTCCACTGATTGACAAGAAAACAGATAATTAAGTTATGATGCATTCATACGATGGAATGTTAGGCATCTGTGAACAACATGGATCAATCTGGAAACAATGCTGAATTGAAAAAAGTCCCAGATTACATCCAGTAGGATGTCAATAAGGTCAAAACTAGGTAAGCTGTTTAGGGATACGTACATGATAATTACTGAAAAACAAAATCCAGAGAGTGATAACATGCAACTCAGGAAAGGGATCACTTCCATGGGGCAGGCCAGGGGTGGACGGGGAGGAGCACACAGGCAGATGCTGAGTATTGGGAATATTTGAGTTCTCAATGGAATGATGGGTTCATGGGTATTTCTTATGTTTCATAACTTATGTGAGTTGCATGTATTCTCTTGTCTGAATCATATACCACCTAATAATAAACTGTAATAGATTCAGACAAATCAATGAATAAGAGTCACCTATAATGAATCACTATTAATGGCTAAAACATTTTAGTATCGATCCTTCCAATCTTCTCTATGCCTAAACACAGTCACATACACTTCTTAAGGAGAAGAGATACTGCTGTGATACCTCCTTTTCTCCCTGTAGCATGTGGTAGGCATCTTTCCAAGTCAGTGAATACAGATCTACATCATTCAGTGTTGGTTTAATATTCTATTGTTTAATTGTGCAACCAGTTAACCAATTCCCTACTGGATATTTAGGTTTTCAGTTTTCTTCTATTAATACTATATGTACATTTTTTATACTTAGCTCTGTGCAGTACCAGGCACACAGTGGGTACTCAAATATTTCTCAAATGAATTTTATTTTCTTAGAATAAATTCCCAGACGGAACTGCTTGATGTGTGTATTCTGAAGAGATACATCTTGTTAAACTAGCGTCCTGATAGTTTTACTGATTACTCTTTCATGAACAGAGTCTGAATAGTTTTCATATTCTCAGACTTCTGCAAATACTGGCATTAATTGTTTTCATCTTTGCCAGTTCTGCAGGCAATAGACGCCTCCTTTAGTTAAGCATTTCTTTGATCAGCACTGAAGCAATCTTTCTGCATTTATTCCGACCATTTTTAATTCCTCTATGAGTTGATTAGTTACTTCTTTTGCCCAATTTTCTACTGTGATATTAAGCTTTGCTTTCTAAGAACTCATCTGTTGGGAATAATTACCCTTTTTCACAGATGCTGCAAATATTTTCCCAATTTTTCACTTGTATTAACTTTGTTTATGATGTGTTTTTGGGGGGGAGAGGAGAAGAAGGGATGATATAGAACTCTGTTTATATTTTTACCACCACAGAGAAGAGAAAAATTCTATTCTTTGTTCTCCAAAATTAATAGTTTTAAAATTTAAATTTTTACTGGACAGCCACATGCAAAATAATGAAAGTAGACCATTATCTTTTGCCATACACAAGAATTAACCCCAAATGGGTTAAAGACTTGAAGGTAAGACGTGAAACCATAAAACTCCTAGACAAAAATATAGGCAGAACACTCTCTGACATCAGTCTTAGAAGGATCTTTTCAAATACCATGTCTACTAGGGCAAGGGAAAACAAAAGAAAAAATAAACAAATGGGACTTCATCAGACTAAAGAGCTTCTGCAAGGCAAAGCAAACCAGGAACAAAACAAAAAGACAACCTACCAACTGGGAGAAAATATTTCCAAATCATATATCCAACAAGGGGTTAATCTCCAAAATATATAAAGAACTCATACAACTCAATAACAAAAAACCAAACAACCCAATTAAAAAATGGGCAGACGATATGAACAGACATTTTTCCAAAGAAGATATACAGATGGCCAATAGGCATATGAAAAGATGTTCAACATCACTAATCATCAGGGAAATGCAAATCAAAACAACACTAAGATATCACCTTACACCCATTAGAATGGCTATAATCACAAGACAAAAAATAACAAACGTTGGCAAGGATGTGGAGAAAAGGGAACCCTCATACACTGCTGGTGAGAATGAAAACTGGTGTAGCCTCTATGGAAAACAGTATGGAGATGTCTCAAAAAATTAAAAATATAAATACCATATGACCTAGCTATCCCACTATTGGGTATTTATCCAAAGAACTTGAAATCAACAATCCAAAGAGACTTATGCACCCCTATGTTCATTGCAGCATTATTCACTATAGCCAAGATGTGGAAGCAACCCAAGTGTCCATCAACAGATGATTGGATAAAGAAGATGTGGTATATATATACAATGGAATACTACTCAGCCATAAAAAAAGACAAAATTGTCCCATTTGCAACAACATGGGTGGGTCTTGAGGGTATTATGTTAAGTGAAATAAGCCAGACAGAGAAAGACAAACATGATATGATTTCACTTGTATGTATAAGATAAACAAACAAATGTACAAAAAGAACAGATTAGCGGTTACCAGAGGGGAAGGGGGTTGGGGGGTGGGCATAAGGGGTAAAGGGGCACATATATGGTGACTGACAAATAATAACGTACAACTGAAATCTCACAATGTTATCAACTACTATGACCTCAATAAAATAAAGGAAAAAAAGGAAAAAAAAATTTAAATTTTTAAGTCCAAATTCATACAACCTGGAATTTATTTCCAAGTCTTGGCTCAGGCCTGACTGAGGGCTTTATACTCACCAAAATGGGCAGTAAAGACATCCCATCCATCTGTGTCTTATTCAGGCTGTAGCCGGCGATGTCCAAAATAGTAGGCCCCAAGTCAATGTTGGCAACAAGCATCTATGAGAACGAGGAAAACACAAGCAATCTAGAACTCAGCTGGTCTGTTTTCCTTTTCCATCTATACTAAAGCTCTCTTCCACCTCCGGCCCCCGCCCCGCAATGAGACACACAGCACTTACTATTATCTTTTGTATGGCCCATACTTACTTAGGTCTTACTGATTCATATATTCAAATACAACTATAATAATTTTAAAAACAAACATAAAGGCTTATAAGCCTTGTAATATAGGCCCCGGGGAATTTATATATTTATTCCATCCATACTGTTATTGATCAAAACTCCTTTGGGATTGCCTGGAGTCTGTTAACGAATCATGAGAAAAATGTTGGGCTAATTATTTTATACAAAGTATTTTCCACCTTGATTATTCCTGTTAGTTCACTATATTTGACTTCAAGTGGACTCCTGACATTTTTGAAAGCCTCAGAGGTTGAATGCTTGCCACAGAGGAAGATATTAGCCCTTTTCATAGTTTCTCAAAGTGACAACACTGCTAGAAAATATTTGCAAGAGCCTTTGAAGACTGCAAAAAACTTACTCCAACACTGCATCAAGAAGAGTTTCCTTAAAGAGCACAAAACTTCGATGTTTTAAACAAACATTCTAGAAATTAAAGATACTGTCCTGCATTTATACTTTGCCTTATTTCCTCGGTTTCTTAGACTATCTTCCTTCTGTGTACAATGCCTCTTCAGGAACTAAACCAGCATAGTCCAATAGAAATATAATGGGACCACACACGTAATTTAAAACTGTCAGTGACTACATTAAAGTAAAAAGAAAAGGGGGCGGCTGGCCCCGTGGCTTAGCAGTTAAGTGCGCGCGCTCCGCTACTGGTGGCCCGGGTTCAGATCCCGGGTGCGCACCGACGCACCGCTTCTCCAGTCATGCTGAGGCTGCGTCCCACATAAAGCAACTAGAAGGATGCTTTATGACATACAACTATCTACTGGGGCTTTGGGGGAAAAAAGGAGGAGGACTGGCAATAGATGTTAGCTCAGAGCCGGTCTTCCTCAGCAAAAAGAGGAGGATTAGCATGGATGTTAGCTCACGGCTGATCTTCCTCACAAAGGAAAAAAAGGAGGGGGGGATTCATTGTATATGTTTTATTTAACCTGATATATCAAAAGTTTTACTATTTCAACACGTAAGCAAAAATAATTAATGAGATTTTACTTTTTTATTTTTGAACCAAGTCTTTGAAATCTGGTATTTTATAAATTATAACACATCTGTATTTTACAATTATAACACATCGCAATTTGGACTATCCCATATGTTTTGGCTCAACAAGCAGATGTGGGCAGTGCAGGCCTAAACAGAACCTAAGCATACACCTGGAAGTCACTTTGGTCACAGGCTAGAAAAAGCTTTAAGTGGTGGAGATGATCCACTGGGGACGAGGGGGACTGAGGTTTGCGGAGCGCCTCTTCTGTGCCAGTACTCATCGTTTATCCTCACTTATCCTCACTGCAATCCTAGAATACAGCATTTCCCCCTCTTACAGATGAGGAAATGAAAGAAGTAACTGAAACGAAGTCAATAGCTTGTAACCGGAAAAGCTATCATTTACTGAGAGGAAATTACAGTCTTCAAAATTGTTGAGAAAACTTCGATCAGCTTAGGAGAGGCCAACTGGGGATTTAAAAAAAAAATCTACTAACCCTGGTACTTTTAATTGACAAACAAAACCAAGAGTACAGACTTGAAAGGCAAGAAAACATCGTCAGAGCATTGCTCATCAGGGGCCAGGTTTCCTGGCAGCTAGGACGGCTCCTGGAGGGCAGAGTGATGCACACGGCCTGGCTCGGAACCATTAGTGTAACTCTGCAGCTGTCAGAAATGACCCTTCAGTGGCAGGCAACCCAGGGGAAAGGCATCCATATGTCACTGAGAAAACGAAGTCTCTAGGGATTACACAAGACCCAGCATTAGAGATAGCTTGTCTACTTCCAAGTCCCCCAGGCAGACTGAGCAGCTTGTAATAGGGTCAACGAGAATGGGTAGGAATATGGAAGAGATCACGGCAGGAAAGGAGAGATGAGCAGAGACACGATCTTCAGAATCAGATCACGGCAATAAGACCCTGAAGTGTGACCAACAGATCTTCAGCGATGTCCAGAACATGAATGAAGTGAACCCAATTCCACAGGTATTACCACCACGTCCAAGGCAGCTTTATAAGAAAAGAAAAAGGATAAACACCAAAATAATAAAACCCACAGAGAGATTAAATGGTGATTGCCAGTCTCACCAGGAACTGCCTCAGGAGCCAGCAGCTGTAGGATGGAAGCTCTCTCTAGTGGCCGTTTGCTTTATGGGGAAGGAAGGCCTGTAAGTTCCAGTACAACTCAAGTCCTAAGATTTGGCACAAGTACCGTCAATACCATCCCCGGACTCGTTCTTCCCAGATATCTACAATGATCACATCTTCCCTAAAAATAATGGACAAATCCTCTTCCCTTCTAGGGTTTTGTTGGACTAAGACGTAAAGAGTCTCAAAATTAGCATATTACGTCATGAGATGGGAGACTTTTAGTGCATACTGAGTATGAGTGAATAATTCAAGAGAATTTTACCTACTTTGGTTTTCACACAACCAAGAATTAGAATGGATACTATGGGCCCATCACTGTGTGACTTCTAGAAACATCAGCGTTTCAAATTGTACTGCTTTAATCACCAAGTATAAAATTAAAGGTTCATTTATGGATTGGAATCCAGAAAGCTTTGACAAGAGCAAAAGTAAATTATTTCATAAGTCGTAGTCTCACAGTTTGTTTGGGAATGTTCTTAGGACTTAAGTACACAGACATTCTGATCAAATAAAAGCCCTGAGAAAACTCCGGGGCATGAAGTCAAGGGCTTGACGCTGCTTATTTTTAGCTCTGGAAGAACGACAGGGCTGCAGGATTACTGACGAGAGTCAGACAGCCCTCAGGAGGGCACATCGGGTTTCCAAACAGACATGCGAGCCCTGCTGTTGAAGAATTCATGGAGGGCTATCAAAGACAAGCCTCACAGCAGAGGGCACCCAGATCAATTCGGTGACAAGCCCTGGAACTGCGTAAGGAAGCAGAGAATCCCTGTGTCTCGGGTGCTTCCTCTGGATCCGCCCCTGAGCCCCAGCTTCCCCAACAAGGAAGAAACCAGGGTGTCGCCTGGTTAACTGGAGAGTTTGCACTTAACACCCTCCCAGTTTCACACAGGGAAACCGAGGCTCACTTCGTCCAAAGTCTTAAAGGCAATATGTGGTCTTCTGACCCCAGTTGGTTCTGTTTCCCCTGGATCATGCTGTGTCTTTTTAGTTTCCTACTAACCTTTTCCTTCCGTAAAACTCTTCTGAAGAACTTCTGCCACCAAGTCTAAAGCTAGATTAATTTCTAGCCAAAGGAGAAAACCTCAACAGCCAATCTTTGGCATCTACACATACCACCTGCCACTGCTCTCCCAACACAAAGCTAAATCCACTGGTCAAACGGTCCCTGTTTTGGCCATCGGGCCGTTGACAGCTCACAGGGCACCGGCACCCAGGCGACTGTGCTGCCGCACACGACGGATCAGCCACCATCTCTGACATTCTTTGTGCGAGATGAGAGCTGAGGCATCTCATACTTCTCCAACTATGTCTGTCAGCACAGCAGTGCGAGAACCACGGATTTTGAGAACAGACACAGTTAATTTTCAGTCCTGGTTCTGCCACTTAACACGTGACCTTGGTAATATCCAGTCAGTCCACGTGGATGTCCCCAGTGTATGTTAAGGGCTGGGTATTCTAAGTACAGATAGTGCTCTCTTCTGGGAACTCCCAGAGCAAAGGAGACAAACTCAGCAGGGTGTGTAGGTGTGATGGCACCCACCCATGTGGGGGCAGGGGCCTGCAGTGACTTCCCAGAGGCGAGCTTAGGACAGTTAACTTAGCCAGGTGAAAGGGGCACGAGGCAGGCATTCCAGACAGAAGGGCAGTCTGTCTGGACAGTACGGCAGTCCGCCGTAGGAGGCAAGGAGGGAGAGAACCGGTTCACTTAGGAAGCGAAAGTAGTTCAGTACACCTGCACCACCTGTCCCTGGAACAAGCCGAGCTCCTTCTCACATCTGTGCCCTCACACTCACTGTTCTTATCAGCACGCCCACCCACAGATCTCTGCGGGACTGAATCCTGCTCAGCACCCAGGCCTCTGTTCAGACGCCTGAGGCTCTCACTGACAACCGCAGCTGAAGTGCCTGGTTCTCCGTGACACAGGGGGGTAAAGAACTGCTCTTCCCTGACTGCTCCTGGCGTGCTGCACTGGCACAAGAAGATCCTTAATAAATACGTGTCGCCTGAGCTCTAGTGTGATGGCTACGTGTGTGGACTGTGGGGCCAGACGGCCTCAGTCCAAATGCAGGGCTCTGATACTTCTTAGCTACATGATCTGGGGCAAACCATTTAACTTCTGCACCTCAGTTTCCTCATCTGTAAAATGGGGATAACAGTATCTGTATCTCATAAGGCTGTGGAGGTTAAACAAGTTGATACAGGTAAGACACTTAGAATAGCACCTGTCACATACTGAGCAGTCAATAAACATTAGTTGTTATTGCTGAACTGGCCTCTTGGGAACCAGGCTTCATTGAGATTGCTTAGAGAGGGCGAAGTTTCTGATTTCAACATTTAGATGCCACTGCTAACTTGAAGAAAGAAGGAACAGTTTGTTCCACGGGCAGCTGCTAACAGTCATCACCCTGTTCTCATGTGGCCTCCTTCCCCACACTGGTTAGAAGTGGTCCTCCAAGCCCTGCTCCTGGGAAACGCACACAGCTGCTCACATGGTCTCCTCAATCAGCTCCCAAGACCATGAGCAATAAAACGCTTTTAAGATTTAACGGTCTTCCAAACTTGCCTGTCTCCTCTGAAAGGAGAGGCCCGGTTAGAGGGTACTGAATGTGCAGTGGGGTCTTAAGAGAAAAAGAAAACTCAAAAAGCCATTTTACCTTTCTGAGAGAATTTTAACAGAATTCCACCAAGAGTATCGTAAAAGGAAATAAGTGAATGGCAGACATTTAAACAAAGTAAACATTAACTGCCCAAATTAAACTAAAGTACCCAATATACCCAGAAAGTCTGGCCCGTTTTCCGATTTTAGCTTAAATGATGTATTTGCTCATTTTCTTTTGTCTCACAGAGCAGGGACTGAAACTGTGATATCAGGAAAGAGAAGACATAACTGGCAGAGCTATCAGTTCTTATCTCCCGAGCCTCAGACCAAAGTGTTTTAGATCAAGGTGCCCACGAACTCTAGGAACCAAGTTCTTCAGTATTAGGTACTAAGTTTGGAAAAAGACACTGCAACCAAATGGAAATGGCAACAAGAGAATGTGGTACATGTGACAGCTCTAGGAGAGCATCAGTGACGCAGAAAGGCCTTGGTCGGAAAGAGTCCCATCGAGAGAGGGACTACTCGGAAGACATGCCTTCTACAGCCTTATGCTCACCGTGAGGTCAGACCAGCAGACAGACAGCACCCGGGAGCAGGTGAGAGACGCAGAATCGGGATCTGCATTTTAACAAGGTGCCCAGGGGATCTGCTCTACAGGGGAGTGGGCCCCAAACCAGGCTGCCTCGCAGAGTCACCTGAACTTCAGAAAAAGCAGAGGCTGGGTCCCTATTCCAGGCCAAGTGAGTCAATCAGAACCTTTCTGCATGTTTCACAATTGCAGAGGGTGATTTTGATGGGCGCCCTGGTGGAGAGTCACCACTCTGGGACAAAGTAAAGATCTAGTCTCAAAAGACAAACAAAAGCTATTCATGCTGACATGATATGTAAATTTGGGGTGAAAAATACAGTTAATAGGGAGTAGCCACGAGTTTAAAAAAAAAAAAAAAAAAGGACTCAACTGTTTCCAAGGCTTATAAATACACTAACAAGATCTTAAGCCGATCAGCCTTCATCCTCATCGGAGGAGAAATCTAATCGGCCTCCTCTCAGGAAGAACAGCCTTCCTTTCTCAGGCACATGCTACCTGTAAACAGCATCATCCCATCAGGCACCTACCTTGCTTGTCTGATTTGGTTTGATCCCAGGCCCTCGAACCAACAGTGGAACTTTGATATCAAACTCATACAGCTGTCTTTTGTCTATTGGCAAAGAAAACTGTCCTGCAAACAAAATGCAGAGAGTAAGGATGGAGCCATGACAGACGTGTGCTGCACACATTCACTCACTTAATCAACAGTAAAAACGAAAACAACTTGGCTCTACTAATTATGGTGTTTTCATGGAAAGCTTAAATTTGCCTGGGTCTCTTATTACCACAAGGCAGGATATGATGAGTTCATCTTTAAATAAATGCCTACAGGGCCTCCCTGGTCTAAGATAGGACAAATTCAGCAAAAAGAATTACTGGAATGAAACACAAATACATAATTTATGTATAATACTCAACTTGATCACAGTTGAATGAGGTTACTCTAAAAACTGCTAAATAAAGGGACAAAAATGTTTATCCTGAATAAACTGCATTTCAAGATAAACAGCTGATGAGGGGAAGTCCTTTTCTGAGGAATTCCAGTTAATAAATGCAAAAGGAGGGGCCGGCCCCATAGCCTAGCGGTTGGGTGCGTGTGCTCCGCTGCTGGCGGCCTGGGTTTGGATCCCGGGCGGGCGCCGATGCACCACTTCTCTGGCCATGCTGAGGCCGCGTCCCGCATACAGCAGCCAGAAGGATGTGCAGCTGTGACGTACAACTGTCTACTGGGGCTTTGTGGGGGCGGAATTTAAATGCAAAAGGAAGGACAGAGTTATGAAGTCAGCACTTTGCAATTTCTAAGGAATAATGGACTTCAGCAACAATCATCAATGGCAGCTTTAGCCACGAAAGTTTCATAGGATGGGCTCAGGCTGATACCACACGAGCCATCAATCAATACGAGCATCCCTAAAGCGGACAACCAGACACCAGGGCCACGTGATGTGTCTCAAGAGGAAGTACGAAGCAGAACCACCAAGAAAGCATTCTTGCTGAAAAAGGGAGTTTCTATTAAGCCTCTAGATCCAACTACCTGTCTAGGAAATGCTGAATCTAAATAAACTAGTTAAGGCATCACGAGACAGCAATTAGCCAAATCCAGAAAGTGAGATACTCTGGAGGACAAAACATCAGTTCTTCCAATAAATCAGTGCAAATGACAGCCTTAGGACATAAAAACCAAAGGCAACACGTGGACTTGATCTAGATCTGACACACAGGACACACAGTACAGCAGTCAGACGCACAACCGAGCGCTGAAATCACAGTGTGTGGACTCACAGCGTCTGCAGTTTCTTCAAAACCATCTAGCTGAAAAAGAAAAACGTGGGGACGGTAGGAAGAATTCAAAGGACTGGCCACATGCAGCTGAAAATCGAAGCTGGACGATGGGGGTTATTTTACTAGTCTCTGTGTTGAGTGCTTAAAAATATTCATAATTCATTAAATGCCTAATTAACCTGCTCCTATGCAGGCAAGCCTCAGGTTAACTGCATTCATGTTTATGAAATTTCTAGCTGGGGGAAGAGGAAAACGTTGCTTTTTAACTACAGAAGATCCAAGTAGAAAGGATGGAAGTCAAGGACATGGGGCTGACTCACACTGCAGGTTTGAAAAGACAAAAAACAAAACAAAAACCACACACACACACACACACACATCAAAAAAACTAATTTCACAATTTCGAAAGAGAGAGTTTCTCCCCCAAGACAATCTTCTCTTGCTCTTCCTGTGTAAAGCGTCTCATCGTATCGTCTAAGGCCTACTTGTCCTGGAAATCTGGCTCCATTTCCTACCTCGTTCATAAAGCCTGCCCCAACCCGTCAGGCTCACTGTGCTCCCCACTCCTGCCCCCACCACGTAACTCAGCCAATAATGACAGCTGGTCTCTCCGTGCGGGAATGAGTCTGCCCTCTAACCAGCGGGGTCCCCAGGGCAAGACCCTCCCCGCGGCCTGTCCAGCGCTGTAAGAGGAGTGGAGCTCCCTGCCTGACGGGTGGGCGAGAAAGGTGAGCCCCTCACGAGGGTCCCTGGAGCCCCAAGCCCGCCTTTACCTGTGTGGTAGCCGTTGTCCGAGGTATAAAAGATGTAGGTGTTGTTGAGCTCCCCGTTGAACTCCAACCTCTTGACCAGTTTCTCCACAAGGTCATCAACTGAGAGTAGAGTCTGCCACCTGGATGTGAACAGAGGGTGGCGATGGCACTTCAGAGACAACGGCTCGGCTACTGCTAACTTGCCAAAAAAACAAAGTGCAAAAAATCCCCCCAAAAACCTCAAAACCACCCTCCCAGAAAAGCTCAAATCCCAGATTTCCTTTCCTCAGACCCTTCATTGCAAAAAACAGATTAAAAAATTCCAGAACATAATTAGTTCATTCCAAATTTAATTATTTCCAAAGAAATAAATGAAGCTTTTAAAAACCAGTTAGGTGGGAGTGCAAACTGGTGCAGCCACTATGGAAAACAGTATGGAGATTCCTCAAAAAACTAAGGATAGAACTACCATATGATCCAGCTATTCCACTGCTGGGTATTTATCCAAAGAACTTGAAAACACCAATGTGTAAAGATACATGCACCCCTGTGT